TGGGATAAAAGGCGTCTTCGTGTGAAGTTGTATGACAGGATCTCCCGAGCCCTCGGCGAGCTTCCTCTACATCTCGTCCACCTTTGCCAACATGGCGGCATACTTCGGCCCGCCTGTGAGGCGGAGGCCGTTGTTTGGGCTTGACGCGCCTCCATCTCGTCAAGTCGGCGTTGGAGGGCCTCAATAATATCATCCTTATGATCCTTCGGGATAGCCTCCGCCCCAAGCGATTGTACGCGGGCTGAGTGAGCCTGGTTGATCTGGTGCCTGGCGTCATCAGCATGCAATAATCCTTTGCCCTTGTCTCGAGGGGGGTGTCTTTCATCTGCCCTCGAAACCGATCCCCCGCTCTCCTGAGGCCTGTTAAACGCATTACCACCGATGCGGTCTTGGACCCCCTGGTGATCATGCGCTCCTCCGAGTCTGTCGAGGGCGGAGGTCCGGGGCTTATTTCGTTTGCACCGCGCTTGTCCTGGGACTGTGCCTCCTGGGACGCGATGTCCTGAGCGATGAGCCCTTCATTGTTCCCGATTCGTAGGATTGGGTTTACGAAGGGGGTGGAGGTGGCGGGGAAAGAATGACGTTCTCCCCAATGTTTGTTTGAGGCAGCATCAGAGCCCCAAAAGCACCATGGTTCTGGGTGACTGTGTGGATGAAGACCGAGAAGGGTGACTGTACGTCAATAGTTAGGACCGGAGGGCTTATTTGGTTCTCACTTCGGTCCTTTCTCCGGGTTTCGAGGCCGATGTGAGCGTCAGGAGCATTTTTCTGGAGCTGAAGGCGCAGGCCAGCAGCGACCTGCTCCATTTCAGCGAGGGCCTTGCCTTCGGGAGCCTTGTTGGAGGCTTCAGCGGCGGTAACCTCACCGAGGCCTGCATTCTTGTCTTCTAGGGTCTTGGTCTGACCTCGAGTTCTTCCCATTTTGATGAGTGTTTTTTTGTTTTCTGGAGGGGAGGGTTCTTACTTGATTGTTCGACCTCTCAACGAGAGCACCAAATGACAGATAGTATATTCGGGGGATACCGCTGAGGGATATCTAGAGAGAAGTCGGAACAAGTAAGAGAGAGAGTATGTATGTAATAAATGAACTCAAAAGTGTTCGATCGTTTACAATGGAAGAATGGATGCTATTTATATCATCCATAAATGCTAGGTGCATTTAATGCGGGTACACGTGTCAAGCAATCAACGGTGGAGGGTCAACTCAACCAGGGTGGCACCGGCATAGCATGTGGCACCACATTCAATGCGGTGGTTAGACGTGACACCGCATTTAATGCGGCGATTCAGAACGTGCGGAGAGTAGATCTTGTCGAGGGTAGTGCCCTCGAGTACACGAACCAGGGGGCCGCATGTGCCGAAGGCTGTATATGTCGAAGGCTCGTAATTTTAGCCTTGGTTCTCGGTTGTGTTTCTGGACCAGGTGTAACTGTTTTCCCGAGTATGGAGCCTTCGGGCATGGGGCCGAAGGCAACACCTTGTGTAGCATGGGCTGTCCGGAGTCTTGTTTGTTGTGCTTGGGCCACTTGGGCCTGTTGGGCCTGTTGGGAAGTATGTGGGCCGAGGGTCCTTGGACCATATACTCCATCAATAGGGTTAGTTTCTCCATTTCTACTTTTCTTAATCAATCAAAGTGGGTTGATATACTTTGAGTATTTGCATGCACATGTGTGGGATCCCTTCAGTGTTCCTATGCAAGAAGGGAATCAATGTTTTCTTTCCATTAGTGATGATTATTCTAGGAAAGTTTGGGTTTTGCTCATTACTATTGTTATTGTTATTGTTATTGTTATTGCCATTGCCATCGCTGTCGCTGTCGCTGTCGTTGTCGCTGTCGCTGCCGCTGCCGCTGTTGCTATCGCTATCGCGATCACGATCGCGATCACGATCACTATCACGATCACTATCACGATCACTATCACGATCACTATCACGATCACTATCACGATCACTATCACGATCACTATCACGATCACCATCACCATCACCATCACCATCACCATCACCATCACCATCACCATCACCATCACCATCACCATCACCATCACCATTACCATCACCATTACCATCACCATTACCATTACCATTACTATTACTATTACCATTATTATTATTATTATTATTATTATTAGGAGAAGATTAGATAGAATTCTTATCAATCAGCCTTTTCAGGACATGTTTGGGAGTATTTTTATCAAACATCTAAATAAATCTGGTTCTGACCACTCCTCTATTTTCATTAAATGTCACCAGCAATCATTTACCGGACCAAACCCATTTATGTTCCAAAATATGTGGATTACCCATCCTAATTTCCTTGATTTGGTTTCCAAAAGTTGGAATTCTACTTCCTTTGGGAGGGGTATGAGAGGTCTTTTTCTTAAACTCAAACATATGAAAAAAGATCTTAAAGAGTGGAACTCTATTGTTTTTGGAAACATCTTTGAAAAAGTTAAAGGCTGTGAATTAAGGGCAAATGAAGCTGAAAAAGTTTTCGAAGATTAGGCTGATGATATTAACAGATCTAATTGGCACTCGGCACAAGCATAATTAATTCTTGCTTATAAACAGGAAAAGTAGTTTTGGAAGCAAAAAGCAAGAATTAAATGGCTAAAAGGTGGGGACAACAATACTAAAACTTTTCCATACTTTTGTTAAGGGAAGAAACAAGAGGCAGCATATTACAAACATTCAGAAGGAATTGAAGATGGCACCTGGATCACAAATAATGAGCAGATTGGTATTGCAGCTGCTCAGTACTTTCAGCATCTTTTTACTGAACATGAGACATCTTCTGCTGAAGAACACCTTGAGGACATTCTTAGTTTCATCCCTCAATTAATCAACCTGGAAGATAACAACATGTTAACCCAGATTCCAAAAGAGGATGAAGTGTAGGAGGCTGTCTGGGCCCTTAATAAAAACAGTGCAGCAGGACCAGATGAATTTAATGGTAAATTCTTTAGAGCTTGTTGGGAGATTGTTAAATCTGATGTTGTTTCAGCAGTTCAAGATTTTTTCTTATGCACTCCCATCCCCCAAGCTATGGGCAGTACAAGCATTGTTCTGATTCCTAAGAATGATAGGCCTAAAAATTTCACTAAATTTAGGCCTATTTGTCTGTCTACTTTCATCAGCAAGGTTTGCACTAGAGTTCTAACTTCAAGGTTAAGCTTAGTGGTACATAAAATCATATCTATTGAGCAGGCTGGTTTCCTTCAAAATAGAGAGATTAGTGGTCATATTCTTCTTGCCCAGGAACTGAGGCATTCATTGGATAAGAAAGTCAGGGGAGGAAATATTACCATAAAATTAGATATGGCAAAAGCTTTTGATAGAGTTTCATGGTTCTTTTTGAAAAACATTCTATCCAGATTTGGGTTTTCAAACCATTTTATCAACATTATTATGAACAACTTACCGGCCACAAGAATGTCAATCATGGTGAATTGGCTTTTCTCATGGCTTTTTCAAGCCAACTAGGGGAGTTAAGCAGGGTGATCCATTATCTCCCTATCGCTTTATCTTAACCTCAGAAGCATTCTCTAGGGGTTTAAATCAGTTACTTAAAACAGAAAAATTTCACCTTACTTGGTTAGCAGAGGAGCTCCTGTTGCTTCTCACCTTGATTATGCTGATGATTTATTGTTATTCATGAATGGTGATGCTAAATCTTTGCTGAATTTCTCTAATTTTCTGGCATCCTATCAACAAGCTTCAGGTGAGGCCGTTAACTATAATAAGAGCCAAATTATGCTTGGGAAGAAATTTCCTCAGAATAGAATAGAGCATCTGAAAGATCTTCTCAGTATGAAAAGCTCCAGGCTTCCAATCAAATATTTGGAAATTTATCTACATCAAGGTATAAATAGACTCAGATATTGTAAAGACTTACTCTCAGCTATTGATACGAAACTAAGCCCTTAAAGAATTTTTTTTATCTCAAAGTGGCAGACTGATTCTTATAAAACATGTGTTGACATCAATTCCTATTCATATCGGGAGGCTGCACCGGGCCCAGATGGTTACAGAGGATGTTTTTATAGGGGGTGCTAGGATATCATCAAGAAGGATGTACTAATGGCAATTCAAGAATTTTTTCTAGGATTCGATATTCATCATCATCATCGTCATCATCATCATCATCATCATCCTCGTCGTTATCATCATCATCATCATCATCATCATCATCATGATGGCGGCGGTGACGAGGTGAGGGTGAGGACGAGGACAAGGGATGAGGACGACGACGATGATAAGTTTCCGAAATAGGAATAAAACAGTTTCAAAATTTTAAAATAGGACTGTCATATTTTTTATTCCCAAAATATGACTAATTATTACTGCCATGTTTAGAAATCATTGTCATGTTTGAAGTCTGGTACTGCCAAAACATAATAGTAATTAGTCTTATTTTGGGAATAAAAACATGTCTGTCCTATTTTGGAATTTTCAAACTATTTTAGTCCTATTTCGGGTAAGAACAACACAACAACAATTATTGTTATTATTATGATTATTATTGTTGTTATTATTATTAATATTATTATTATTAATTTTCCCTCAGTTTTTTTGCTTTCCTCACCCCCCACGGCCCCACCCTCCCAAAGTGAGTGACCAAACCCGTCATATCCACGAAATTAAAATCTCAGACCTGTATTTCTGAGATTATAAATGTCAACGTTCAATTGTCCAAATTGTTGTAAATGTGGTCCTTTAAGTGATGAAATGTACTCTCGTCCACATTGTATATTTCACCCCTCAAAAGGACCACATTTACATCATTTCGAACAATTGAGGGATAACATTTACGATCTCAGAAATACAAATCTAAGATTTTAATTTTGTGGATAACTGAGGGACCATACATGCGATTTTTAAGTAGGCGAGCATATTCTGAGCATAACTTAAAAGTAAGATGACATAGACGTTATTTTAATGTTATTTGTCAAAAATCTGAACCAGTTGAACAAATCATGGTGTACTAGCACTCTAGCAGCAGCAGTAATAATAATATTAATTAATAAAATAATAACAACAGCAATGAAGTTGACAGCAGCAACCGACAACTATAACAATAAGATTACAACTATAATAATAAGATTATGGCAGCATATTTCAATGATTAACCTTTCTTTAAATAATACTGAGTACTACCAAACAGCAGATACTAACAAAATCAATGATCAACCAAAACTTGTGAAAACGTATTATAATAAAGAATATCATTTTATAAAATTGGACTAAATTGCAATGACTCGGTGCAGAAAACCCATCAACCACACCAAGTCTTCCTGCAAGGGCAACAAACCTCTGGTCATGAGAAGTGTTGTCAACAAGGCAAGTGAGTTTCTTCCGAATACATCATCTGTTTGTGATGTAAAAAAAGCCAAGTTGTCACCAATAATGATATTCACTGGCTAGCCAGCTCTCTTCCTCTAAGCAAACAATGCCATAGAAAACAAGAATATTTTGGATCCAACAAAAAGAAGCCAACTAGTAAGATGTTATGAAACTGCTAAAGATACCTCATCTTTTCACCCGATTTAAAGAATTTCATCGATATGAAGCTGACACTGCAACCTAAAAAACACCAAACTTCCAGGGGTACATCGTATTTTTACAATGATAAAGGGTCAAAAAACTCTCATGGTTACAAAGTTAATAAGATCTGTTTATGTTTATAAGTTTGTTGATATTTTTTCGCACATGACCTTCAACCTCCATTTCGCATTTATTTACAGGAAAGCATTTTCATGTTTTTCTTATGTTTGGCACGTGAAATTACCACTTTCCTAATAAGACTTCCTGAGTTAGACTTTGGAAAATATTTTAATATTCTTTAGTTCATTTGAAGTCATCTTCCTACAGCAGTTTACGTTTCCAATTTTCGACAGAACAACTTATTTAAAAAGAATCACAAGAAGTTATTTTCTAGGAAACAAACGGAGCCTTAACCTTGAAAGAAAATGCAGGTTCTTCAATGATAATCTGAGAAAGTATCAAGTGCCTTAACACTAGAATGCAATTTCACAACAATTTAACCTCTGGTTCCATCCAGCAGTATACATACTGCAAATCCTCTGAAACCTGCAACCTGACACAAATGGTTGGCAACAAACACATCAAAACAAAGTGATATCAAGGATTGGCCGTGTATGGGGAATTGGACACATGGATTATCCATTTGTTCTCATTTCACTAAGAATGCCTGTCAACCCCAGCATCACCTATGAACAGTCTGATAGCAAGAGAACCTGCCACTACGGCTCTACCTGTTGGCCCTGTAAATACAGGGGACTGTCACATTAAGCTACTTAATACAAGGTATATTTTATATGCTGCAAAATTGTATGGACATTTATCTCCATATTTGCATACTCATATTTTATATCATAAAGAAAATCACAGTACATGGATGTAAAGAGACAATCCTAGCTGCGCTATAGCCATCATAAAAAAAAATGAATAATGGAAATAGACACCAGAGACAATCTTCTGGATTGTGACCCATTCCATAGGCGAAAATGGAAGGGAAATTTGGTGATAGAACCCAAGTTTATCCAAATATTCGAGTTTGCACCGCAAAAACTTTTTTACATCGCACCACATTAGGGTGCGAAGTCAAATGTTGGAGTAGGGGCACAGGTGGGATACAAATACCATATTTTTGTTAGGCTTTGCACCTCACTTAGGGACAATGGTGCAAAGTAAGAGATAATAAAACATGATTTGCATCATGGGATGGAAACACACATTCATTTCTTTGAAATACTTCTATACACTTTAAAGTAACGAAAATGACATAATCAAGTAGCCGGAAAAGCTATCTATTGATCCAAATATTCAGATGATTTATAACCAAGATAGAAGATACAATGTTAAAATGAAACCTTGACTTTTATAAATGTGAACCAACTGCTACAAACTATTGTCTGACATAATACTTGCAAGATTTAGCAGAAATTAGGTTCTTTAATTCCAACAAATGATCATCATTTGAGATATGCAGTGTGATGCGAAGATTTGTCAACATTGTTTCCTGTTCCCAGCTTAAGGGTCCAGAAGCATACAATGCCTCTAGAGTACTACGATAAGCACACAACTCTAATCTATGAATGCTTTCTGCTACATCCTCTTCCCGACGATGAGGAGAAGAATAAACTTCCTCCTCATCTCTAGAACAACAAACTGACTCTGCATCACTACAAAGTGCACTTGGTACAAAATGGAAAGGAAACTCTGCCTGACTTTCACTAGTAACACTACAACTACCAACAGAGCAAGAAACACCACTATCAGAGTCATTCAAGGGTGAAAAGCAGCAACTGTGCATTTTGTTATATCCAGTCAACCTAATATTAAAAGAGGCACACATTTGTTTTTTAGCCAGTGTTTCTCTTGGGTAAGAAACATCATCTACCTTTTCCAGTAAGGTCTCTTGTACTACTGTTTGTTTAGAGCTATTTGTTTCCAGAGCTAGTAGGTCCTGAGAGTGGGCAGTATGTGATTCAGTAGTTGATGAGCAGTGCAGAAATGCCCGTTTTCGAGACCTAGAAGGAAGTATATGAGATTCCTCTCCAGTGTCTCCCTGAAATTTATCCAAGGAATCAGGTTGTGGCACTGGGAATCTCGTGTTCCTGTAGCAAACTGGATTTGACAATTCATGAGATTTGACTTTCCCACATTCTGTAGGAACCTGTGGGATGAAAGAGAATTATGTTTTATTAATGGACTATATAAGGAATTATAACAATATAAAGTTTCTATTAAAACAATCAACTATGAGGGAGGGTCATTCAAGAAGTAAACTGGGTGGAAAAAATTGAATCAACAAGTATGTCGGAAACCTAGTTACCAACAGTATACCGGCAAAAAACATATTTAAGCACCTGAACTGCCTACCCTCTCAACTTTTAATTTGACCCACAGAGCATATCATATAACTTAAGCCTCAGTACCCTTCTTTTTTGTATCTCAATAGTACGTCTCATCATCACATGACATCGCAGCCATTATACTGTTCCACATCAGAGACCAGAATAAATTACGCCATAACCCAAAAACATACTCTATTATGAGGATTACCCAGGTTGTGATGACTAAAATATTATTTTAATTGGTTTTATAGCATTCCTGATATGGATTATATACTTATCTTAATGTTTGCTTTGAATCCATGATAGCACAAGTTTTTTCAACGCTGTGTGCTGAAAAAGAGTTAGAATGAGAGGATTAACAAATAACAAGAAGAGTCCAATGGTATTTACTAAATTAACCAGGGACAGTGTGAAATGCTCATAGGTCAATTTAAGTTGAAGGGATCAATAAGGAAAACATGTCATCATCATGTTATTAAAAATGATCTTTAAAAAATATATACCACCTAAGCATAGAAATATGGAGCTGTAAAACGAGAAAGGTACCTTAGGCACCCAATTCCACCTTCCATCTTGCCATGCTAGTCTCCTTCTCATAGATGATATATGAATGCAAAATTCATGAGAGGATCCAACAAATCTCACAAAATAATAATCTTCTTTTAGAGTCTGGACAATAATGGCAACTTTCCAAGAGCAGTCATCAAATACCTCCAAAATATCCCCAGGTAACCATCTCTCTGTATGTTGCCCCAGAGGAGGAGAAGGTCTGATAAGGCTCCTATGCACCCTCTGTACCGGAGACTCACTTTCTCCCAAAGAATCGAATCGCAATACATAAGTATGTCCATCCCCAGAAAGTATCTCAGCAACCCTCCATGAGATTGGCACCTCAGATTGGTTCATTACCTCCACTTTAACCCCTTTTTTAAATTTCATTTGGGTTGAAGTTTGCAAATCCAAGCAGAATCTGATCAGAGGAAAAGAGACATCAGCAGGATGTTAGAAGTGGAGGAATACCATCTTAACAGTAACACAACAAAAACAACACAAAACAAACAAATCCAAGCTCGGGTAAAGAGAGATAAAAAAGCATACAAACATGTGCAAATAAAGCAAGACATTTTCAAATAAAACCCAACAATATAGCTAATATAGGTTGAATGATATTTAGTAAATAACTATAACCAGAATCTTTTATTGGATGGGAAATACTCCATACAAAAGAATTTGGACAGAGCAATTGACACTCGTATTACATACAAATTTCCAGATGTGGAACAAAAAAAACTGATCAACTTGTTAATTCAGAAATAAATATAAATCCGCATAAATCACGTAAGCGACGACCGAAATATCAGATTCAACTCAAATTACAGTTCATCCACTCATACAAATAGTTCAGATAGTTATACGGACGAACAATCCAAGGAAAATGCATTATATACAAAAGGAAATTTATCTGATGATGTGAATAGATTAACTCCATAAAACAAAAAATAAATCTACAACAACAATTGTAAGGATAATAAAGGCGATACATTGCAGCAAAAAAAACTGAAGATCGCACACCTTTTGAAAATAGAGAAATTTCTTTAAAAAAACGGTTTCTCCGAGTTCTTGATCGCTTTCGATCGCTCAAAACATGTATCCCAGTAATCCTAGTTCGTCGTTCTAGGGTTTGACAAAAAAAATTGATGTGAAAAAAATGCGAATCGGGAAATATGCAAATAGGAGAATAAATATGAATAGTGAGGGTAATATGGAAATATCCACTAAAATAATACTACCTCCCTCCCGAATTGAATTGCAAACTTTGATCGGCACAAATATTAAAGAGTGACAATAAATGATGCTTTCTTTTTATATTTTGCCCATTTTTCTAAAAGTAAATTCTTTAAAGTTAATGGGAAAAAAAAGTAAAAGTAAAGGTAAATTTGTCACTTTATTCTTATTAACATACCTAAAATAGAAAATGGAAAACCTTTTTTGAACAAACAAAATAAGAAATTTTGCAAATCAAATTGGGACGGAAGGAGTATCTATTTTTCTTTAATAATACGGAGTAATAAATAAACAAAAAGATTGGGGTTGCGTAATGCACGCCTCCTTTACTTCGATGGATAAGGCTGCTTGCATTGCAAAGGGTGAAAAGCACAAATGTGAGTATTCACTCTCAAATTTGCTCCAACCCAAGTAAAAAAGGTATACGTGGCATGTCCTAAACAATGAAGCAATTGACAATGGGTCCCAACAAAATTAAAATTTTAATTTTCTTTAAACTGTTTTATCTCTTTAATTTTTACTCTAAATTTTACAAAAAATGAATCAAAATTCATAACTTTTTCTGATCTTTCATATGACACCAGTCATGTATATATACAGTTAAAAAAATTAGTTTGATATTTTAATATTAAAAAAATTAGTTAAAAAACTTTCACTCCAAATTTATTTATGTTTACATCGAAATGTTTGATATTTTAAATCATAATTATTTGCAAAAATAGAATTCGCGAAAAAAATTATGTACTCCCTCCGTCCCTATATAAAAGTATCCATTCATTTTACACACATATTAAGAAAGTGGGTTTGGTTGGTACTGTTGGACACTGTTTGGACACTGTTTGACACTGTTTGGCACTGTTTTGTTTGCCAAAAAAGAAAGGGAACTTTTATTTAGGGACGGCCAGAAAAGGAAACAGATGCTTTTATTTAGGGACGGAGGGAGTATAATAATAAAAGTAAGGATGTAACTAAAAAAGAATGTGTTGAGTGAATATATTGACGGTGTTGGGTTGCAAGGAAAAACTGGATTGATTAAGTGGATACGTATAAACCGGTGTTAGATTAGATTTATTGACGGACTGAGTTGCGATTAACCTAATAAGCAAGGCTTATTAAAGATTCCGTTAACAAGCCATTTTTAATAAGAGTGCGTAATAAAAATATGTTTACTTCAATTGAATGTCTTGCTTAGTAAGACAAATATATGTTAATTTCAATAGGATTAAAATATGTGTTAATTGTAAAAGGTCTAGAATAACCTTCAGTTTAACTAATAAAAATCTTCGTCGCTCTTATCATGACCTAAGGAACTCTCTGCCTACTAAAATCCCCAGAGACCTTCATCGCTCTCACCATCCCAGAAAGAACTCTGCCTACTTTCTGCCATACCTTATCTGAACACAATCCATGGATTTCGAAAGTTCAAGAACAAAGAATAGGTATATTCGAAAATTCATAAATTGTACGGAGTACTTTATAATTCATTATTTTTGGTGTAGTGGGTTTTGAACAAACACCGTTCCATTTAGTTCATTAATGGAGAATAGATTTTTTTTGGTTGGATTCATTTCTATTTGTTGTTGTAATTCACTGCTCAATTTTCAATTATTATTTTTCAACTTTTCATTATAAAGTTGCGTTCTTTTTCAATTGTCAATTTTAATCTTTATTCATAAACGAATAAACCTTCATGTTACCAATTAGATGTTGAAATATTCCCAATTTTAAGACTAGCTTGGTAAGAATGAATTTTAAAGAAGCACCAATACTACATTCAGAATTCTCCAGCGCTATGAGCACCAGCATGAACATGAGCCTAGAAATCACTGCTATGTGCAAATCAAAAATAGTTATTTTACTCATTTATATATTCATTTAACAACATGTCATAGATTCGTATGAAGCTGTAATTTTAATATTTAAAGAATGACAGTCATAAGGAAGAAGTCATTACATTGGTGGTGTAATGTCCAATCGTGGATTTTGAACTGTGCGCTTTGGATGTCAATTTTGTTGGTATCAAATCGACGTAGTAGAACACATTCTATTAGTTATGTGATAGATGATCACTCCAAAAGGGAAGGGTATTTTAAGAGGTTAGTCAATGGGAATGAAGCAAACTGCATATCCGAGTAAAGAATGTGCCGTGCAGCATTCTATAAACCGTGTCGATAGGCCTGTCAATGGGTCGGGTCCAGACCCAAACCCGACCCGGATCCATCTTTTTTTAATGGGTATGGGTCTACATTTAATTCCGTTACCCGGACCCGGATCCGGACCCGTTGTTTAATGGGTCGGGTATGGTATATGTAGTTCCGACCCGTTTAGGACCCGACCCGTTAATATTTATTTATATATATACATTAGTCTAATATACATATTACATTAGTTGTCGCCCACATTACGATTTAGTTTAATAATTATCAAGAAGGATTCCTAGAGACCCTAGAGTCCGCAGACCGCAGAGGATTCAAGAAAAAGCCTGTTCAGTTTCCAAAGCCATTAATTTTACTCTTTATTCTAACACTACATATCTTGCAAATTATAAACAACCTCACAATTGTTGCGTTTGGTTGAGTAATTACAGACAAGTAATTACAATTCATGTACCATATTGTTGCCAGAAAAGTACTCGGTAGTAAGAGGTCATGTTTTTTATTTAAGAAATAAGAATTTGATTTTCGTGAGACGCTGACCTGGTTTCGAGACCCAATGGGTATGGGTCCGGAACATTAGTTCTAGACCCGCCAGGTATATGGGTCGGGTCTGGAACCCTATAGAGGCTAACGGGTCCGGGTCTGGGATACTACGTTCTGGCCCGTACCCGACCCGTTGACAGGTCTACGTGTCGAATAAAAGCCTTATCGCCATTTGGGTTGGTTCCAGGTGGATTTTTTTGATAAATTTTTTGAGCATCTTCTTCATTAAGTTTAGTTCATCCATACCAAATTTCAGATAAAAATTCAATCAGGAAGACAGTCAAATGATTTTCTTAAATGTACTACGCTGTTTAACCGCGTATTGGTGCAGGAATTTGACAATATGAAAAGCTTGATCGGGGCAATTAATGACGTATTTATTAGAATTAATGCTAGATGATTAATTCTAGCGGTTTCATGTATATTATGAGAGTTATTGTTGTAATTATGGCGTAGGTTACTCAAATGGTTGACCAGAATTTATGATGACATAATGACAATTTTGATGTCGTCGTAACGGTCGAAATTGTCAACAACGGACAAAAAGGCATTAAATATCTCTCTTATAAATGGAACCAAGCTCTATGTAATCAGGGGGACCTTCATTCGAATTACAGATCAATATACCTTCTATTTTGCTTACTTGACACCATTCTTATTGTTCTTGTCATTTTCCTTACCGTTCTTGTACGAAACCCAATCAATATATAATTTCTATTCTAATTAGTTTTAGTTTATCAAAATTTGGCTAAAACAATTTGGCACCGTATGTGGGAAATCGTGCAAGAAATTTATTCTCCATGGAAGGAACGAGCAACGAGATGATGGCCGAGTTTCATAAGCAATTGGAGGCGATGAAGGAAGAAATCTGGTGTGAAATGGCTCAGCGGATGCTTTTATCCAACGAGAAAATGACGTGTTGCGCTCTCAAGTGCAATCGGTGGCGTCCATAGCTTCCAACTCAAGATTTAGCCGAAGAGGTGACGCCATGACAGCAGCAACGAGGCTGGAATTTGACCCCATTCCAATCTCGACCGAACCTTTTATCCGTCATTCAGGAGCCGACGCATCTGGAGATCCGGGGCCTTCAAACCGATCTTTTCCTCTCCAGAATCCTAGCACGAACATGTTTCACATACTATTTCCGAAATCTCAGAGACGACGAGTTCCAGATCATGTCGACATCCCCCGACACGTCGACATCCCTTTACATGTCGACATCAACAACCAGAGACAACAAGATCCTGAAGTCATCGTCATATCCTCACCAACCAAGCATGATGTGACCCGGGTGACGACGCCACCAATCTCGACGACAAGACAGATGCAAGCATATCCGACAGACCCCTTATCCGTCATCATGGAAGAGCTGAGGGAAATGCGAGAGAAGATCAATGGTATACCCGGAGTGCCACCTCCATTGGACGTCGCTTCACAGACATGCTACGCAGATTCCCCTTTCAGACGACACATCACAGACGTTGAGATTTCAAGGAAGTTTGTTGCCCCCTCGATGATATTATTCGATGGAACTACCGACCCCCTGGAACACGTCGCTCAATACAAGCAGCAGATGCTTGCCACCTCAGTCAGACCAGAGCAGTGGGAGGCTTGCATGTGCAGGGCATTTGGGACAACATTGACAGGGCCAGCGCTGACGTGGTTTGTCAATCTACCGAATGAAGGCGTCAGCTCATTTGCGGAGTTAGTCAACCTCTTCAACCAGCAATTTGCAAGCAGTCGGGTTCTGGAGAAGCAGACCAGCGATCTCTACCGTGTGGTCTAGAAACGCAACGGATCCTTAAGAGATTACCTCCACCGCTTCAACAAAGAGAAGGTGTCTGTAACACCCCGCTCCGTAGGGCCCGAGGTAGTTACTCATACACACCCTCCAGACCTCTAGTACTGTCCTCACAAACCTCCACGAGCCTTTAACGCGCACTTTGTCCTCACTCGTGCGCGCCCTGAGAAACTTCTCAAGGGGTCACCCATCCCAAGACTACTCCTGTGCAAGCATGCTTAACTTTGGAGTTCTTGGAGATGAGCTCCCTTAAAAGGAGATACATCTTGTTGGTATGAGTAGTACTATTAATCCGTTTAAATTAAATCTCAAGTGTTACAATCACCCCCACTTAGGAACGCAACGTTCTCGTTGCGCCCATAAACCAATCTCAATCAAATCCCAGAATCTTTTCCCCCGCTAAGTGTCTGCCCGATATCCAACGGAACAACACACTGTCGCAAGGTTGCTCTGATACCACCTGTAACACCCCGCTCCGTAGGGCCCGAGGTAGTTACTCATACACACCCTCCAGACCTCTAGTACTGTCCTCACAAACCTCCACGAGCCTTTAACGCGCACTTTGTCCTCACTCGTGCGCGCCCTGAGAAACTTCTCAGAGGGTCACCCATCCCAAGACTACTCCCGTGCAAGCACGCTTAACTTTGGAGTTCTTGGAGATGAGCTCCCTTAAAAGGAGATGCATCTTGTTGGTATGAGTAGTACTATTAATCCGTTTAAATTAAATCTCAAGTGTTACAGTGTCAATCCCCCGATGTGACATACCAACAGTCATCGAGGCATTCAGAAGAGGTTTGTATGAAGATTCAGAGTTGTACCACGAATTGAAAAAATACCCTTGTCGGTCCTTCGAATATGTCCAAGCAAAGACGTTAGCTTTCATCCGTCTAGAAGAAGACTTACGATCCCGTCGAAGACAAATTGAGTACGAACAGGGGCATGGGAAATCAGAATCTCCCAGGAGGCGTGATTACAAGCATGGAAACCCATATTCGAGACCTGAGGAACAAGTCATCACGAGATAGAGCAGACGACATGATCGGAGTCGTCAGACGGGGGGCATGTCGTCTGATTCTAGACGGGCTCTGAAAAACTGCAATACGATGACATGATCGAAATCGTCGGACGGGGGGCATGTCGTCCAAAGACAGACAGGTTCTGAAGAGCTGCAATACGGTACCCTTAAAGTTGTTTCATTTTTAGTTTGGTATTTTCTTTTACATATTGTTGTCACTCCTGTGACGGGATAAATCAGACGACATGACTGAAATAGTGTGAGACGGGGGCATGTCGTCCGATGATAAACCTGACGACATGATTGAAATAGTCTGACTTCAGACAAGTCCTGATGATAAGTATTTGTCTAGTTTTGTATACATACTTTTAATTTATTACTTTTGTTTACATATAAATATTCACTAACTTAAGCATCGGATGGCCTTTGGCCAACGGCCAGACTTTGACAACATGATTTCATGCAGGATATCGACGCAATAAGCACTTTGAACGTGCCAACAGAAGGCACTCACACATACCCCCTACAACCTAAGAAGGGGTAGTAAGGTTAGCATGGGCCATTCATATTTGAAGTATGAAAAACAAACCCATGCGCCTTACACGTTTTCGCCAAAACGACAAAAGCACAAAACTACAGAAATACACAACAGAAGCATGTGCTCCAAAAGCATGACAACAGAAGCTCCAAAACATAAGGAGACAATACAGATGACATTGACACAAATCACAAACACTCATGTCGACAATATTGCTAAAAACACAAATGAAACATTATTCATAGTTTTCACAAGATATGGACCACGTTCACGCAACCCAACTCGTCTTCTTCAACAACAAATGATGTTCCCTTTTCCAGCTGAAGTGTCGACATTTACATGAAAGATGTTGCGAACTTCTGCCACCTAGTCGTCAGCACAATTTCGGAGGAGGAGAAGACGAAGTGCCAGCCTTTAGTCTTCATTGTTTTAGTCAATGAGACGGATTCCATAGGAAGTCACTCGAAAGAAAGATGGTAACTTTTCGTTAGACGAGTTGATCCATACGTCACATCAAGTCAATGATGGGCCAATAGATGCAATGAACCAAGATGTGAAGTGTACTTTTGAATTTTCGATAAGTTGATGCTTAACAGGTCGACATGTCCATGACACGCCTCAACTTCTCGAAAGGGGGCAATTGTTGGTGCAGGAATTTGACAATATGGAAAGCTTGACCGGGGCAATTAATGACGTATTTATTAGAATTAATGCTAGATGATTAATTCTAGCGGTTTCATGTATATTATGAGAGTTATTGTTGTAATTATGGCGTAGGTTACTCAAATGGCTGACCAGAGTTTATGACGACATAATGACAATTTTGATGTCATCGTAACGGTCGAAACCGTCAACAACGGACAAAAAGGCATTAAATATCTCTCTTATAAATAGAATCAAGCTCTATGTAATCAGGGGGACCTTTATTCGAATTACAGATCACTATACCTTCTATTTTGCTTACTTGACACCCTTCTTGTTGTTCTTGTCATTTTCCTTACCGTTCTTGTACGAAACCCAATCAATATATAATTTCTATTCTAATTAGTTTTAGTTTATCAAAATTTGGTTAAAACACAACGTAGTTATCTTCAAAAATTCATTTGACTGCCTTCCCGATTTAATTTTTAGCTGAAATTGGTATAAGTAAACTAGACTTAATGAAGAAGATTCTCAAAACACATCATCAAACAATTCCATCGGGAACCGCCCCAAATGACGACGGCCGCACAGAACCTCCTCTATAAGGGGTAGTTTGCACTTTTTAAATTGTCGGTTTTCATAGAATAATTTAATCCAATCATAATCTGGAAATGATTTCACCTCATTTTCTTTGATCCCTATCTCATTGATTATCTTAAATTTCACTTTTTTCTTTTCCTTGCGAAACATTACTCTCTCCGTTCTTTATTATCTGCCCCTCTAATCTTGGGCACAAGTTTTAATAATAAAGTAGTACGGGTAAAGTGAAAAGTGTAATGAAATGTAATTAAATGGAAAAGTAGGAAAGATACTAGATTAATAGATGTAATTAAATTTGTGGAGGAGGAAAGGAAAGAGAAAAAAAATCAAAGGAAATGGAAGGTTGGCATGCGTACAATCAAGAATGAGGGGCTACTTTTAATGCTATTGTCGCCCAAATTACTTGAAGAGGACATTTCCCTCCAAATAAAGGGATACAACACTTGTTATAAAAACAAATGACTAGCTATTTTTACACTTTCCTCCAAAAATAGCAAAATAACAGTTCGGATATCAGCCTTTCTGCATGTCTTCTTCAGCAAATATGGGCTGCAGATGAGCGCAAAAGCTTCTTTTTGTATTCCTCCAAAAGAGATGATGCTTGTTGAGCAAGGCATTGCAGCTGAAGCAGACGAAGTTGATGGCGATTCTGAAGATGAACACCTATTTCTTGAGAACACAGAACCAAACTCACATGAAACTGTACCTGCAAAAGCATGTATATCAATCACAAAGTCAAAAAGAATGATAATAGCAGAAGATTTGTTATCAAAGGCAAGTGAATGTTTTGAGACAAAAGTGTTGACTTATAAGAGAGGAGTACTGAAAGAACTTGTCAGCACCCACAATGTTTCCACTAAGAGACAGTTGGCAGAATCTAGACAACAACAAAACAACAAGTTGAACAAGGTTTGAAAATAAACACATATCATAAAAGGAAAGGCAAGTGTGGCAGGAAAAGTCTACCTGAGAACAGATATGTGCCATTCCAAAGGGCAGCATGACCACTATGAGAAGCTTGGCAGCTTCTCTTGGGGTCAATGTTTCAAAAATCCATAAGTTACTAAGTACTGGTATTATAAGAGCAGACACAAATGCAACAAAGCCTACTTTGAACGACAACAGCAAACTGGAGAGATTAAAGTGGTCAATGTGTCACATTATTTCAAGAACAATCACCGAACCTCCACAATTTACAAATATGTTCAATGTCATACATGTGGATGAGAAGTGGTTCTTTATTAACCAAATCACTCAACGATACTATCTTTTACCCTCATAGGAGGATCCTCATAGAAGCTGTCAAAGTAAAAGATTTGTCAACAAGATAATGTTTTTTGGCACCCATTGCTAGACCATGGATCAATGATGATGGTTATTATTATTGTTATTATTATTATCATTATAGTTATTATTATTATAATTATAATTATTATTATTATTCCGGTTCCATATGGTCTGTTCTGTTTTGGTCTGGTCTGGTCTGGTCTGATCTGCTTCGGTCTGGGATTGAAATCAGACAAAGTAAAACGATAACAATTTTCGATAATTTGGCAGGAATATTATTATTTTTAATTATAAATGAATAAAATATAATTATTTATGGATTATAATATATATATATAATAAAAACTTTATGCAAAAAATATAAAAAATAAAATTTGAGACCAAACCAAACAGACCAGACCAGACCAAAACAGACCAGACCAACAAATTACAGTCCAAGTAAAAACATCCTGAGACTTGTGCTGAGAAGAAAGAAATAATAGAGATCACAAATTCATCGATTAAAAAGGAAAGTGGGAAATTTTTTGAGAAAATTTAAAAAATGAAAGATAACGAAGTTTTAACGGACATAAGGAGTACTTGTTATTTGCATGTTATGGAGTCCCTCTCATGATTTCAAATGAATGTTGTTGTAAAAAGAACTATTCACCCAGTTATGAATTGGGAATAAAATTCTCACTGAGTTATGATTCCAATTTTTTGAGATCTCTTTAGCAGTTGTTCTAGAAAGTATGTTGTGCCTTATGTTTTCAACAATATATTTAGTGAGTCGCTTCATTGAGTTGTTTGAATGGCGCCATTGACCATATACGATGAGTCGAAATTCAAAACCTGCTAAAGGATCAAATAGGTCCTTGTGCAGGCCGTGTTTGCTCAATTTAGTCCCCAAACTAAAAAATGTCCAATTCGCACCCTAAACTGGAAAAAATAGTTAAAATTTTAATTTTTACGAGTGAACACTCTGATAAGCCGTCATGTCACCTGATAACCAATGACGTGGACATGAAAGGTTCAAATAAGTCCCTAAACTCGTCACAGTTGTTCAAATCACCCCTAACCTATTAAACAATGTCAAAATTGCAATAAATATCAAATAAAAAACAATAAAATAAATTAAAAATAAAGTATGTAAATACAAAAATTAGAAAATATAAATATGAAACATAAATTTAATTTTAGCCTTTATATTCGTACTCTATATCTATGTCTTACATTAATGTTGCATTTAAGACTTCATTTTTATTTTTTGTTTTATTTTATGTTGTTATATTTTATCATTTTGTAGGTTGTGAAGTAATACATATGAAATATAAAATAGAAATTTAAATACTTCAAAAATAAGTTATAGAACAAAAATGTAAAAGTTAAATCAGAAATATTTTATATAACTTAAAGTATAAATATAATTTTTATCTAATACAAAATAAAATAATTAAGAATGGATGTTAGAAATATATTGAAATATAAAATATAAATGTAAGAACAAAACTAAAACTCTACACAAAAGATCCCAAACAGGAACAAAACATATAAAATGTTTTCAAATAAGAATGTCATTATTTTCATCCCAAAAGAGGACTCACGCACACCTAGTTAGGATTAAAGAACTCCTATTTCCAAAGAAAACATATTTTAGAATTTTCTGTATTTTCATCCTACTTTGAGCAGTTTTAAACCTAAATATTTAATATAATACAACATATTAAAAAAAACATAATACATACAACAACATACTAAATATAAAATATAAATAAAATTAAAAAGAACAAATAAAATTTAATGTAGGAAATGAAAGGGCTAAAGTATAAATTTAAGAGTAAAATATAATGTCAAAATATGCATATATTATCTTTTCATCTTTTTCATAGTTTCATATTTATAATTTGAATTAGCCAAAAAATTAAGTATTTTTACCATATATATTTATACTTTATCTTTATTTTTAATTTTTAATTTTTTAATTTTGCATTTATCCCAACGTTGAACCTTTTTTAAAGTTGAGGGGGTTCATTGAGCCATTCGAACATGTTGAAGGACTTTTTTTGAAAGAAGAAAACTTATTTATTAATAACAAAAATAACAACAAGTAAAGCAGTACAAGAGAAACCCTAGTGGCCGTCTCCCCTCTTCGTAGGGGTTGAGATTTTCCGCCGCCCCTATCAATATGAGGTTGGAGCGGCAGATTATACTGATTCTAATAAGTGTTCTAACGCTTGGGATTGCAACCACGTCGAAAGAGATAGCGTTGGTGGAAGAACGAAGTGCGGTTGAGAGGTTGTATCGAGACTGGATCGTGAAGCCTTGGTCAGCCATTCCCGCGGTGGTGGAGTTGGTATTCACCCATATTGCAAGAGTTCGTCCTCCTCCGGAACCACCTCCATACTAGGGAATGCTTTGTGGAAAGATTTTATTTCAGTATTATTTTCTCTTTACTTGCAATTGTTTTCGTTTCAGTCCGAGTATATTTGGTTTGAATGTTTGGATTATTGGAGTTCTTTTGAAAGGCGGAGTTTCGGTTCCATTCATTTTAGGCATAAATTTGCCCGTTTCAGGTTTAGCGAGTCATGCTGCTTTGTATGAGGTGGCTGACTCTAAGTCTACTCCTAGGGTTCACGATTGGATCTGTAATTTCTGTCTGAAGATTGTCTTGTATGTGTTCTTGATTTTAATATTACGGCCGCTCTTTTATGATTAAAAAAAAGAGGTAAAGCAGTACAGTAGCTCAAAGCTACACTGAGATGAGACATAGAATCGATCCGCCCATGATCAATCATGTTCATTAACCCCGCAACTATGTAGACTAATCTAATAGAACTGTTGAACTTGTTATTCAAATTAGAGGTAACTAAACAAGAATATCTTAAATAAAAGTAACAAAATAACTCAAACATCCCGGTTTTATTAGCAACTAGAAAGACATAAGAGGTTTGTCTGGTCACCTCCAAAGGAAGGATCTCGGTTTTACCATCCACTGGAAGGGAAGAAGATGTTTGACCGGTCACCTCCAAAGGAATCGTCTCATTTGTGAGACATGTCAGTACTCTAGACGGTGTTGTTCCTGGAGCACCGTCGCTGGGCTGTTTTTTGACTCGTCCCCGTCAGCCTCTATATGGACCTAAACCTCCACCAAATTCTACAAATTCACTATTCTTCTTTCCTAGATTCTTCTTCTTTCAAGACTCTATTTTGGTCTTGCTCTTGCTAGATAGAAACTCTGTTTCCTTGTCTTGCTTCACCATGAGTTGCTTATCCTTCTCCCCCGTCACTCATGGAACCTCACCCCCACACGAGATAAGCCATTTATTCGCTGTGTGAATCCCTCCCCGCCGCATATCTGCTCTCATCCAAGGGCCATAAGGCTTCTCCCCAACCCACGACCTCGAACTTATATTTGATGGGCAATAACAATCAGTACGGCCTAGTACTCCACAAATGAAGCAAAGGTTAGGAAGTCTCTCATATTCGCTGAATACCAGCAATCCTTCCCCCTGTCACTCATGGAATCTCGCCCCCACGCGGGATAAGCCATTTATTCCCCGAGTGAACCCCTCCCTGCCGCATATCTGCTCTCATCCAAGGGCCATAAGGCTTCTCCCCAACCCATAACCTTGAATTGCTATTTGATGGGCAATAGCGATCAGTATGATCTAGTACTCCACAGGTTAGGAAGTCTCTCATACTTAAAATTCGCCCCGAACCAGCTATCCTTTTCCTCTGTCACTCATGGATCCCCCCCCCCCCACCCCACCCCACGTGATAAGCCATTTATTCCCCGAGTGAACCCCTCCCTGTCGCATATTGCTCTCATCCAAGGGCCATAAGGCTTCTCCCCAACCCACAGCCTCGAACTGGTATTTGATGGGCAATAGCGATCAGTATGACCTAGTATTCCACAGATGAAGCAAAGTTTAGGAGGTCTCTCATACTTAAAATTCGCCCAGAACCAGCTATCACCCTCTTCAGCTATCACCCTCTTCTCTAATATGTGTTCTTCTTCTCAACGCATTCTTGATATTTATGGAAACGCGAATACGAACATAGCTCCCTTTATCGTCCTTTCATCAATCTGAATAAGCCGTCCTAGGTAACGACTCATGCCTGACACCACTTTAGCGGACACCACTTTAACGGTCATGAAACTTAGAGGTAGATTGTGGATCTGAATCCAGAACACCACATGATCCAGCTCCATCTCTAGGGGTCTATTAGCCGCTTCCATCCTTTTAATAATTAATAGATTTTGATAAAAGACCATTGACAATCTTGCAGCACCCTAGATATGTCACTATCATGATAAAATTGGATCAGAAAGCTCATATCTCCAATCTGTTCAATACTCACTCCTCTGCCTGGATGCCATATCATTGCCATTGTTTCTCGAAAAGAGATAGGTCGAACAAGTTTGCCCGTGACAACCCTAGCTACACTAGAAAAATGTGGGTTTTCTCTGTCCCCACAACCAACATCCAAGGCGCCTGATTCAAATACCAATCCACTATTTTTCTCTTCCTTAATAGACATCCCCCCATAATCATGAGTTTAGTCTCCATTACATAACGATGAACAAAGCAAATTGACAAAATCAAACTAGGCAACAAAACAATAAGGAACACAATCCAAACTAATCAAAACCTTCACAGTGAAACGCAACAAAACCCTCGGCCAGAGAAGAACTCAGTGAGACAGATTAACACGGAAAATAGCCTAACAATGAAGTAGAACGACTGGAACACGCCTAAGTTGTCGTTGCCATGTTTAACACCGAAACAATGCGTACTAAGCCCCCAAACGAAGATGATGTGGAATGTTGATTTGTCGTCACAACCATACACACGCTTCAGTCTTCTTCTTCATATGTTGTTCAAGGACTTATTTGACCTTTTAGTTTCTACTTCATATGCACATGTGGCAACCAGACAGGTGACGTGGCAAGTGACTATATGTTTACCCATAAAAAAGAAATTTAAACCTTTTTTTACCGGTTTTGGGTGCAAATTGGACATTTTTTAGTTCAGAGATTGAATTGAGGAAACATGACTCGTACATGAACCTATAACCCTTTAACCTTTAAAATCGACCTCATAAAATTTAATGAAAGCTTTTACATAAATCATTTTAGAGCATATTTGAAATATCTTCTCATGTTATATTAGAGTTATTTTAGCATTGATATTTTCTTGAGATCTCTTTACCCGTTATTCTATAAATTATTTCAGAAACTATTCTGATCTTTTGAGATTTATTTCGAGAAGTTGTTTATGACTTATTTGTTAAATGCATTGAGACGTATAGCCTAGTCATCCATTGATAATTAGCATAAACTCCTTAATTACTTCATGTGGATTCAGAGTAACTTATCCCGATGAGAGTTCATGCTTTCAGTTTCTTTGTTGAGAAGGGAAGGATCGATGCAATGGAGAGGCCTTTCCATTGAGCGTAAACCTGAAAGAAGGAAACCAAGTTTCTGGCAGTACACTCTTGAAATGGAGATGTACCACTCTACTCTTGGATTCTATTGCTGATTTGCTGTGACAAAAGACAGTGGCCCACAGCGATAGAAAATAGCAACCATAATCGTGCTTCCTACACCAATATATTAACCATGTCACAGCATACACCAAACATACAACTGCAACTCCAAAAAGAAGAGAAGGGTTTCATTTCAATTTGCCATGGTTTGGAAAAATCATGTCCAAAGGAGCGAAGGTATAAAACTAGCAACAAAAAAAGAAATCTGACACTTATACATTGCACATTTTGATGTATTTGGTAGCAAACCCAGAAAATGTGAGCTAATAAATGTTTAGACATCTTTTACAGAAAGAAGGAAACCAAGTTTCTGGCAGTACACTTGAAATGGAGATGTACCACAATTATTCTTCCATAGAATATATATTTTGATTATTGGCATCCATTGGCAGAAAGGCAATAATATGAAAATTGCCTCAAGGGAGTGTGCGCTGATAGAGAGGTAGAGCCCCAAGAGCCAAACGTTCTGCACTCTCCCTTTTGACCTGATCGGGAAAAGGAAATCATATTGGTGAGTGAATCGCAATTCAACAATGAAAAAATAATCCAATAATCAGTACGAGCATAACTCAATCATTCAAGAAATCAAAGGTGTAACCTCATATTCTTCTTCTTCTTTACCCCAGGGGGGTCAAGGGGGGCAGGGGCCTGGGTAAACAGGGTTGTAGTGTCTTATGTTGCATTTGGAGTGACTTATTAAGTACTTTTAACTGTGAACGTACTTTAATGATTATTTAAAAAGCAACAGATAATTGGTGTTTTTTGTCAAAGAAGCGGTTTAAGTTTTTAATGAGAAGATACTTGGGTTAAGATACACTCTTAAAAGGCATATGTATTATCCTATGTACAGCCATATAGATCCTTGCAAAGAGACCAAACTAAGCAGATAATAATAAGTTAATAACATGGTGGGTCAAATGCATAAATGGTACCCTAACTATTGGTAATGTTGCATTTTGGTACCTTAACTCTTAAATGAATCAAAATGGTACCTTAATTATACATAAATGTTTCGAATTGAGGTTGTATTCAAATTTCCGACCAAAAAATCACACGTGGTGGACATAATTATATGCGTAAAGTCTACTTCACCTTAGTTTTGTCCATATGATCACTGTAGGGTGACTCTACACATGGAATTTGATCGTCATGAAGGATTTTTTGGTCGGAAATTTGAATAAAATCTCAAATTGAAACATTTATGTACAGTTAAGGTACCGTTTTGATTCATTTAAGAGTTAAGGTACCAAAATGCAACATTACCAATAGTTAAGGTACCATTTATGCATTTGACCCTAAAATGGTTCTTGTCCTCATAGACATTACTAGCGTGTCTAATAAATGGATAGAATGCTACATATCAATGTATCAAATACTTGGGGCATGTCAGACTGTCAGGCGATCCAATAAACATGAAAGATTGTAGCAAGAGCAGATAAATTTGGATTTCTGAGGTGTAGACTGTACATTGAATCCTATAAAACAGATGAGCAAACTGTGTAGTCCACCACGGATGGCCAGACACTTGGTTTTAAAAGGCACAAGGCACTTTAGTTGATTTGCCTAGGCGCAATGCGCACACTTCATAAAACTTAAACATAAAGATTTGCTAACAATACTTATGCAAGTCATTAAACAAGCATATTGAACACCAAAGTCAGTCACAAGAAAAACAAAATAACATTCAATGGTTACTGATTTAATGTGTCCTGAAGCTTAAAGTTTAATGATCTAACTAAGTTTATAGTGTCAATTTTATATTTACTAATTTAATGAGTCCTGGACTTAAAATATTAAAACATACTCCCTCCGTCCCGAAAAGGTTGGCCAAATTTCCTTTTTTGGATGTCCCAAAAAGATTTGTCATTTCCATTTAAAGTAAGGAATATGTGGCTAAAATTAATTCTCTCCTCTGCACAAATTTCAACCATACAGTTTTTACTTTATTAATCCACGAGAAAGTTAACTTTGGCCAACCTTTTTGGGACGGAGGGAGTATCATTTAGTTACATACTTAGTCGCGTGGTAATGACAAAAATTTATTACAGTACCACATCTATATAGCCTTCTTTATTTGCATCAGTAGTTCAGTACTTCAGTACCCTACTTTGCAGGTAAGAAATGCAGACAACTACAGAGTATGACATTCCAAAGTCCTGCTTCTTTAAGAGCTGGGAACCTTATCTAAATATTTAAATGACTAAATAAGTCAAACTGAAAACCATTTTTAGTAAGCTTTAATGATAAAGCAATTATTCAAATTTTAAAAATTAAAGCAGTTGGCCGTTCAAGTTTTGTAGAACAAAAAAGAAGAGGAAATAAGAAACAAAAAAGTAAAGAGAGGGATTAAGATATTTTTGAAGAGGAAGTAACTTGTTACTGAAGCTGAGGATGGAAGACTGCTCGTGCATTGAACTTTGAACTGATCGTGCATATTAGGAAGCGGATGGTCACGGAAATGAGAAGTAGGGTTGTCAACTTGTTTAATGTTTACTATGGTTTATTTTACAAGTTTACAAGTTCAGTGCCTCAAAAATCAGCCCAAATTTTTTTTTTTTTGGAATTATCTTTGCCTTAGAAATTATCGCCTCCGTGTGCACCTTTCATCACCTTTCTGCCTTACACCTTAGGAATTGTCACCTGTGACGCACCTCACCCATCTGGAGGCATAAGCCTGTTTCTGCCAATCAAGGCTTAAGCCTTACATGCGTTCTTCCAGCACCTGAGACGCATGTGCTGAACGCTTTTTAAAACAATTATCAGAATGATTGCATAATACTCCCACCGCCCCGCTAAGATTGTCCCATTTTTCCTTTTCGGGAAACCCCACTAAGATTGTCTCATACCAAATTTGGTAAAGTATGTGTGGCTCTAAATCACTTTTACTTTATTCTTACTTTATCAATTCAATATCAAGCACATAAACTCACTTTTCTTAATAACCGTGCTACCCCTCTTGTCGCAATGTTAGTGGGACAAAGGTAGTACAAATTAAGGCTTTCTCATTACAATCAGAAAGTATATTAAGGCTTCTAGTTTGAAAACTACCATAGAAATTACAAATTAGCTTTAGGACTTCTAGTAATTATATGAAGGGTTCTAGTTATAAATTGGAACTTCAATGTTAACTTGAGTTTGCTGGGAATACAAAACTAATTCGGTAACACATAGAGTCATGCACACAGAGCAGGCATGTAATTACTTATAAAAAGAATGGAGAGCATGAGCACTAACTGCTATATCTGTGAAGCAAAAGAGCAGGAGTCAAGCAGAACATATCACAGGAAAAATACAAGAAATTGAGAGAGTTAAGAAAATATGAAGGGGGTAAGAGAAGAAAGGAGAGAAAAAACTTACGTGAAAGAGGGCAACATGTGAAGAGAAGGGGACAAGTTTTATTTGTGATAAATAAGAAGAGATGGAGTGGTTTTAAACTCTGGGAGTATAGTGCAGCACAAAAAACTCTAGGAACTTGATTCCTCTAATCCACGTCTGTTTGAGTCTTCCTCTCCCTCTCCTCCCCACCTCTCAACTCGTCTAAGATGAGTGATATGATTTTCTTGGGTTGGGTGAGAGTATGGTTTTAGAGAGAGCAAAGTGGAGGACGAATATTCATGTGAAAGATCGATCTTCTTTCCCTCTTTTCCCTCTTGGTTTTGCCTCTATCTCTTTCTTCTTTATCTTTCTTATGTTCTTTATCCTTCTATCCTTTTTATTGTATATATTTTCTCTTGATCCTCTTTATCTTATCATTTTATCTTTATCTGATATTCATCTTTATCTTATCATTTTGTCTTACCTTATCTTTTTATCTCTCTTATCTTTCTTTTCTTTTTGGCTCTGATATTATGTACCGATTCATGTCAGCCGACCCAAAAAAAATTTGGAACTAAGAGCATCTTCAGTGCTACAATGTGCATGGTGCACATGTGGCATGAGAGAGATAGCACATAAAAATAAATAATTGACATTTCTCTCTCATTCTTTCCACGGTTTTACATAATTTTGGTATAATAATGTCAATCACAATGTCTACATCTAAACATTTTTCTTGACATTGTGGAGAAAAACTTACCAAGAACATATAAGACCGTTCAAATAAAGAGAGGTAATTTGCTTACTAATATTTGTGTGTCTATCTCTCTCATGCCACATATGCATCGTGCACATTTTGGCATTGGAGATGCTCTAAGGCTTGGTTGTTGTTCTTATTGTAAACTTAGAGCAAATAACTTGCAAAGCTTACGACAAACACTAGGGCGCGGCTAATGTGTTTGACTCCTAATGCACAAAAACACGGAAAGAAGTGTGGAAAATGCACACTTTATGGAATCTGCTGAGCACAAGTTATCTGTATGCAATTTTTTCATCACATCTCTGCGCTTCGCACCTAGCCGCATGTTTTTTAAAATCTAAGCACAATTATTAGATTTTCTTACAAATTGGAAGTGGTAATGATAAAATAGGCATGGTAGATATAATATGTACCATATGCAGCACCAATTCAGGCTTTAAAATGAATTATCATTCACAAGATACAATGCAACCCCTAAAATATACAAGGATATGTATTTTAGGTGATTCACTCATTCGTCACTAAAAGCGTTAATAACAATTAAAAGAAATACAGCTGCAAATAATGAGTACACATGTCTGGTTACACGCGTTTGTCAAAATACTTACAAGGGCCAACATTTCCTGAAGATAGCTTCTAAAAGGTGTTTGTGCTGCCTGCAAGAATGGGAACCAGAACATATTACCCAGTGCCAATCATATCTTGTTCTATAAACGGGTCAAGATCCATGCATAAGACTTACAAATTATGCATGGATAAGACACAAATTATATAAATGGAAAAAACAGAAACTGCTATTTGGGGAAGAAAAGGAAAAACAAATTGAAAAAAGAGTCTATGTTTTACTGTTACTTTAATTGGACCACGATGTTAGTCTGCGTTCTTTTCAAGCAAACAGCATACTGCTATGAAAAGTGGCCAAGATCTCAGGTTATTTTTATACTTGGATATACATTCCATAAAACTAAGATTGAGGTTATTTTTATACTTGGATATACATTCCATAAAACTAAGATTGAACAATTGTAGTCACTCCGTGGATGAATGCTGTTTGAATGGCTCAAATCGTCTATAAACATATGCACACAGATACATTATAATTATTTACCGTTCCCTTTCTTTCATAAAACATCGCAAGACCTCAATCCGAAAATAATAATAATACCTGAACATCTTCCGGGAGGTACTGATGCTTCATGGAGAGGTCCATGGCGCGTTTGAGGCGCTGGTTCCGGGCATCAACAATCTCCCTTGGCAGCCGATTCATGGCTTCTTTGATGTCCAGATCGTACATTGGATCGTACAAATCGTCGTATCTCAAACCTTGAGAACCAAAATATTATCAATTGTTCATCAATATATTTGTTTACAATATTAGACAATCGTAGATACGTGGGTACCAACTATGAACACATACCGTATTTGCGGAGTCGAGAACTGAGAGTTTTCTTATGAATTGCAGCCAGAGGGTTCTTCTTCGGATCTACGAACCATCTCGTAAAAGACATCGCCATTTCTAGGGTTATTCTTTAGATCAGAGGCACTATTTCTTTCTCAGGAATACCTCTAGAAGCTAGCCACTTCTTCCTAAGTCCTAACACTCCGCATACACAACATTTGCCCAAGAAGGGGGTGGTAATGTTTTTTTAGAGTTTTTGTTCCTTTAATTATTATTGGGAAAAAGGGCAAATAAACCCGCATACTAAAAAAAAATGATCAAATAAACTCTTATATATGAGGCTCTGTCCGACCGTCAACACTTAGGCAGTTTCCGGTGAAATTTTTTGATGAAATTTTTTGAAAATCTTATTTATTAAGTCTAGTTTATTGATACCAAATTTCAGCTAACAATTCAATTGAGAAAGCATTCAAATAAATTCTTGAAGATAACAGCGCTTTTAACTGCGCAGTTATCTTCAAGAATTCATTTGAATGTCTTCTCGATTGAAGTTTTAGCTGAAATTTGGTATGAGTAAACTAGACTTAATGAATAATATGTTCAAAAAATTGCATCAAAAATTTCCACCGGGAAACGCCCCAAAAAACGACGGTTGGGCATAACCTCCTATATAAGGACTTATTTGACCTTTTTTGTTAGTACGTGAGCTTATTTGCCCCTTTTCTCTTTAATTATTATATCTTTGACATTTTTTATACTCAACTTTAATTTTTTTCAACTTGTAGTCCTTGATTATTGTGCTAGAGACACTTTTGGTACCCGTCTTTGAAAATTTCTATAGTTAGTCTTCCGACTTTCATAAAAGTGACACTTTTGGTCCTTCAACTATTAAAATAATGACATTTTTAGTCCTTAATCTTTTGTGTCAAAATCAAAGTGTAAGGGCTAAAAATGACAATTTGATAATACTCTGGAGACTAAATGTGGAAAACTTTGAAGTCAAGGACTAAAAGTGTATATAGCACAATAGTCAAAGACTAAAATTAGAAAAATTAAAAGTCGTGTACCAAATGTGTCAATGACATAATAGTCAGGGGACTGAAAATGGCAAAGACTCATGTTTTTTATAAGGGCCCTATAGATCATCTAGCCTAGAGAGTTATCTGTATTCGGCCAAAAATGTACACAAAAAACGTATACACTAAACATTTTTTTTTTATAAATATTTGCATAAAAATACACACTTTTACAATACTTGTCACTTTCTTTTTATGACGTCTCATATAAAGATTTTCATGTATATGTTAAGAAACAATTAACACTCTTAAATGATAATTCAATAACTAAATATTAAAAATGATACTTCTATAAAGTCATATTTATCGTCAATGACTCCATATTATTATATTATATATACCCATCAAAATTATTTCTTAAAGTATAATCGAATTACTTTATTTAATTGCGAAGTATTATCTAAATAACTATGTCATTTTACAATGAGAATCTTTAAGCGGGCGGAGACTATATTAAACAATAAACTTTTAATTTAATTGATACTCTAAATATTGCATGCAATGATTCTACTTGTCAAATGTTAATATGTAAACTATCAAACAAACCTTAAATTTAAAGTATAAATTTGTCACATCAAATGTGTTGAACGTATATAGTGAATATATTTTAGAACTAATTGAATAAAACTCACAAGACATTTGGTTATTAGTATGGATAATTAAGGAGTTTTTTTCTCAAAAATAATGCAAAATAAAAAAATATTTACCAAATTAAGGCAAAGTTAAAAGTATTTCTCAAAATACCGTTGAAATAATAAACTCCCGTTGAGAACGCCATTTGGATGACGGCTTTAGGCGAACAAATAAAACGCGGGTGCATGCCATGACTAAGAGCGGAAAAAGGATCATAGGTCCCGTTAAAATAAAAACACCTCTTTTATTTAAAGTGTTGTAACGTTTTTTTATTGTGCTCCGTTTTTTATAAAAAAATTGTCAAAATTTATAATTTTTATTATCTTTAATTTGACACTAATATTGCATATATAAAAATGAAAATTAATTTTACACTTTGTAAAACTTATATTTTTTAAAGTGTTATGATTTTTTATATATATACTCAGAATTTTACAAAAAATATATCAAAATTCATAATTTTTATTATATTTCATATGACACTAACATTGTGTATATAAAAATAAAAAAAGAATTTGAAGATATGACTAATAGAATTTTTTAAATACATGGAAGTTATGAAATTAAGATCTCTTATCATTTAAATTTTTGGTAATTATGTTTCTTGTTATTCTTATCAATAATAATTAAGCTATTTTCTGATTCATTTAGAAAGTGTTAATAGTAAATGATCGAGTAAGAATGATAAATAGTACGGAGTAGATAATGAGTGTTAATTATACGAATGATTTAGTTGATTTAGTTGATTTCACTCTACATTTTTTATGTGCAAGTGTTTCATGTACATTTTTTATAAGTGTGCTTCTTTTGAGGCATAAATTTTCATTTATTCATACTAAAACATTTCTTCTATTTGAAACTTATCGTTTAGAATGGGCTACATCAAAAGATAACATTAACCAATGTTAACCGTTTGAAGACGGATCTAGTAACTTATTGTTGATAAAATCAACACATTGAGAAGAGTTAAACATAAACTTAACATAAATAACAAAATTGTGTAGTTGAAACATGAAAGACAAAAACAATAATTAACTTATACATTTTTTGAAGAACACATCCATACCTGGACGTATTTAGACGAATAAGGATTAACGTACTATTTGTCCTTGTAGCTTGACTAGTCACGACTACATTTTTCTTGGAAAAAAATCCACTTTTGGTCCCGTGACTATTATACAACTTCCACATTTAGTCTTTTACTTTCAGATTATCCACATTTAGTCCGTGACCATTATCTCCTCACCACCCCTCGTCCTTCCGGCCAAAACTCAGGCAAATTTAATGCAGATTTTAGGTATGAAAAACCAAATTTAATGCAAAGACTGATATGAAAAAACCAACCTTATATAAAATTTAATGCAAAGATTGATTCTGAGACTGATAAGTGGACTAAATTTACCAGAATTTTGGCCCGAAGGACGAGGGGTGGTGAGGGGATAATGGTCACGGACTAAATATAGACAATCTGAAAGTAAGGGACTAAATGTGGAAGTGGTATAATAGTCATGGGACCAAAAGTGGAATTTTTTCTTTTTCTTGAAACATTTATAAATAAAAAAAATACTCTGATATTTAGTTACAACTTCTTTCTCTGGTTTATTCTTAAAAATATTTAATCCTCTATTTGTCCCTGTTTCAACAACCAAACCAAGAAAATAGAGAAGAATAAAATTGTATATTCAATACCATAATGATTTTGCAATACAGTGAAGAGTATGAATAGTAGCTCTCTCTCACAGAATGAAGTTATGCGCAGGAGAATTATGGAGAGGCTTGTGATCTCATTCCCTTTAAGGCAATAATTATATGCCTTGGGAATGGGTTGATGTGATCTAAATGTGATCGGGGTCCTTTATTGAAGTGGCTCAAATGCACACATTAGAAGGCTTTTCCTAATATAGCTAGTCCAATAAATATATTAATTAAACTAAATACAACACAAATAAAGTTATATTAAACGTGATTGGACACCATAAAATATCTCTAACAATCTTCTTCTTGGTGTTCAATCATGTTTACTCAGCATTGCAGCGCGGGTATCTGTGTGTTTGTTTTGCTTCAGCAATGTAGAGGAGAGCATAGATGAGATTTTTTAGTTGCTCCTCTTTTGTCTTGATCTTCAGTGCAGCTCAGCTTCCTTTATCTTCTTAGAAAGGCTTTGTGAAGAAATCTCTAGCAATCTCCCCCTTGGTGTGATTCTTGAGAATTTGATCTTTGATGTCGGGGATTGAGGGATTCTTCAAAATCTTGCTCATAATCCTTACCTTCTAGAAGTTTCTCTTGATCAGCTGGAATGAAGTCCACTGGCGCCTCTAGAATGAATGTTCTTGAATAGTTTTAGGCGCACACAAGATTCAGCTTCAGTATTTGATCATTCGGCCCCTGTATCCTCCAAAATGTAGCTTTTTTAGACTTTTTGACGTGAATAATTTTGAGGAACAGTTGTCGGTGGCACAACGGAAAATGATGATTTGACTTTTGAGCATTGATATGCACTAATTAGTAGTGCATAAATGTATATTTTTATGATTGATTTGTGTGTATTGTTTACCGTTTTATTTAGTTTGTAAACATTTGGGTGATTTTAGTTGTAATCGTATTTTAATTCTCATTTATAAGTTGTAAAGTATAGTTAGGATTTGTGGTGTTGGAAAGGAAGATTTTGAAGAGAAGAAAACAAGAAATTTGACTGCCCAGGAGTGAAACCCGACCGGGTAGAAACCCCCACCCGGTCGGGTATGATTTAACAGACGAAATTGCCAAGAAAGTCACTGGACCCGGTCGGGTCCCCTACTTGACCCGGTCGGGTCAGATGTGACCCGGAACAAAACGACGTGCGAAGATCACCAGAACGTGGCGAATTATCTGATTTTGACCGGACCCGGTCGGGTAAGTACTTGACCCGGTCGGGTACCCGGCCAAAGGTGTTGAAAAACACCTATAAATATAGCACACTTTTTCTTCTCTAAAAATCATTCCTTCTTCCATACTCTTAAGCTCAGTTTAGAATAGTATTTCTTTATATTTTTCTAGCTATGTTTAGTCTCCAAATGAGGAGCTAAACTTCCATTCTTGGTGTTGCTCTTGAAGCTTGTTGATTATTAAAGTGGTGAGTTATTTTCTTAACTTCTTTCCTTGAATATTAATTAATAGTTCTTTCCTTAATACCATCTCTATATTAATGTTGGGGAGTGTTGCTAAGATGACAATTAGTTAACATCTCGACATTAGTTAGAATGGTATTTTCTTCCTCTATATTAATGTTGGGGAGTGTTGCTAAGATGACAATTAGTTAACATCTTGATATTAATTATAGTAGGATTCATCTTCTTTAATAATATTCTTCCTTGAATATTAATTAATTCCTACTCTTATTTCATATTAATATTTTGAACATTACTTAAAGGACCAACCAGTTTTATTTCATATATTAATTATTACTAGAAACGATCAACGAACCGATGGTTAATCGTTGATGGTTTCACAAGTAAGTAACTTCGGTTTATTAATGCACGGTCGTGGTTAATAAACTTAAGAGGGATTAATTTTGTTGGTTAAACC